CTTGCCAATACCTAGAAGCAAGATCTAGCTTGGTGAACCAACGACTTCGCCCCAGATGATCCAAGAGATCAGTAGTGTGAGGAAGAGGATACACATCTGGGATCGTCACTTCGTTTAACAGACGATAGTCGATGCAGAAACGAATACTCCCATCAGGTTTCGTCACAAGATGAGGTTCACATGCCCAAGGACTCCGCGACTTCCGAATAACACCCTTTTTCAACATTTCCTTGATGTTTGCTCGTAAAATTTTGATCTCCTTAGGTGACCGACAACGAACAGGAACTTTGATTGGACGAGCATCCCCAGTTGGAATTGGATGACGTGTGGCAATCTTGGCCCCAGACGATAGGTCAAATTCAAAGAGATCAGAATACTCCTTCATGAGCCGGTCAACTGCTACAACACAAAAATCGTCGGAGGGATCGGAAAAGGGAAAAGCAGAACAAGATGGAAACACAGAAGGAAAGAGTGGGGAAACAAAAATAATGGAAGCAGAGGTAGAAGTAGAGGGACAAAGAGGTATGGAAGTGAGAGGAATGGATGAAACATAAGGAAGTATGAGACAAGGGGGAGAAGCCTCAAAGTCACACTTGGCGTGATTGCGTTGCAACCAATCCATACCAAGAATGAGGTCAAAAGCTTGACTCGGCACCACCCGCAACGACTGCAACTCAAGCTCGAGATCGCCCACACGCACAACCAGGTCCACCTCATCCCGTGTACATGCATGTGTACGGTCGTTGCCATAAAGAATGAAAACTGGTTCTACCGCACGACGCAAGTGTAGACGACAACGTGTGGCAACAGGTCGAGCAATAGAAGATAAACTCGAACCTGTATCAACCAACACGGAGAGAATAATAGGAGACTTCTTGTTATAAAAACGAGCTTGGAAAGTAAACACTGGATGAACTGGTGCCGAGTGAACCCCTTAATAATACTCCCGAAAGAAAGATTGAGGGGTCACTGATTTATTTACGCAAGGTCCCTCCGTTACTCGCGCGACTCCTCGTTTCCCGGATGGATCTCGGTGTCCAGACCTTCCACTGCAGCAGCACCCAGGGGACGTTGCTGACGCCAAGGTCTCCACCCAGGAAATGGAGGTCGCCAATCCGGAAAACGATGGCAACGCCGATAAGTATGACCAACTTCATCACACGCCCAGCAGCGAACATCACGGCCACGACCACGTCCTCGCGCTTGTCCTTGGACTCGAGCAGCAGCAGCATCAACCTCCATTGGAACAGGACCATCACCCATAGGAAGTGGAGCGGAAGGACGTGTAGCGAGAAGTGGAAGAGGCGACGTCTCATAACGTTGTGCCAAGCGAAGAGCATCGTCAAGGGTGGCAGGAGCAAGTGCATGCACAAGTCCGACAAGATCTTGATGAAGTGCTGGCCACAACATTCCTAGCTTGATCCGCTCCGACATATTTGGCTCCGCACGAAGCAAAAGACTTCGGAAACGAACGCTAAATTGCATCACCGACTCCGATGGCCCTTGGCGAAGACGATGCAATTGTTGGAAAGCATCATCACAATCATCGGCATGTCCGAAGGCGCGTTTGAAGACGTCCGGGAGAACACTCCAATCCCCACGAGTAGCTACGCTCAAACCATTGTACCACTGCAACGCCGTCCCTTGGAGACACATGGGAAACTCACGCAACCGTCGAACATCATCCCAAGAATGATATGTGGCAATCACCGTAAAGTGATCAAACCAATGGTACACATCATCCCCAGGGTTCCCGCGAAAGAACTCCGGCCGAACGCGAGGATTGGCACCAAGAGCAGGAGGAGTTGTACCACGTGCCGTGAACGCCGCCATCAACTGAGTTTGATTGTTCAATTGCAAGCGCATAGCATCAAGCAATTGAACCAACTGCTGCTCTAAAGTCAAAGGAGGAGATTGCGGATCGGCCATGAAGATGAACGAAAAAAAAAGAGTAAAAGAAGAGAAATGACAAAAAAGCTGGAAAGAAATGGTAGATCTAGACAATGCAAAAAGCTAGATCGAAACCAAAATCCTGAAAAGAAAGAACAAAAGAAAGGAAATGGAAAAAGCTAGATCTAAACTAAAATCCCAAATCCAAGCACTCCCCAGGGACAATCAAAAGTGCCCCTCACCTCCACCAATGTGAGTGCATGGAATACGGAAAGGGAATACAGAAATGTGCATATCAATTAGCCCAAAAACCCTAGCTTATATACAGGAGCGAGTGGTCCGGATTGAAATCAATCCGATGGCTACCAAAATCCACTACGCTAATATTAGTATACGGCATCGTAGCCATACACTTGGCCCTCACAGTGTTTGATTTTATTGGTTTACTTAAGCCAAACTGTATGGTAGTGGATATATTTAAAATATGCTTGGATATTCTAGGATATTCTACCATCTAATGGTTGTTATTCATTTAGATTAATTTTTTATTTATAATTTTTAAAAATATTTATAATCTATAAACACTTCCTAGTATGTTCTAGTTTACTGATATTTAATAAGTTTGTTAATATTCTTGTGTTTATAAATTATAAACATGTTTATAATATAAATTTTCATTTGATCAATTGGATTAATAAATAGAAATAACAATATGCAACACATAACAAATTTTAATCATTGTTGTTATTTCTGTCTATTTTTTTAAAAACTTTATCTATGTTAAGAACAGGTTGATCCCGCCTCATATCCCTTTTCATGGTTTTTTCCTATCAGCTTTGTCCTCAGACAAGCTTACAACACCAAAGATTCCAAAGACTTTGGTGGGAGTACGCAAAGTGGTTGAGATGGAACCCGTTTTTATTTTTGTTATTCACCATTGTCATCAGTGGCGACCCAGCCCTTCTTCATATCATCAAGACGAGGAAACACTTAGATCAAATGGTGAAATGGAATCGCTGGACGGGTCTCATGCTCAAAAAACTCGGTCCATATGGAATGGTGGATCTCATGCTCAAGAGTTATTAACACGTTGGTGTCCTGGAACTCATTAAGACTCTGCTAGTGTGTTTGTCATTACCTGGAACTCATGCTGTGCCAGCTCTGGGTATGTCGAGCACGCCCTCAAACTCTTGGATGTATCATGAAGTTCTGGTCTTCGGAAAAACAGATTTCTTATATTATTAAAAATCAACTATTTAGCTTTGAGAGGTCGAGGTGGTGAAGTCGATGATCTCGATAAAGTCTCCAGTGCAGTTGTAATGCTGGAGGGTCTTTGCCAGCGCAGGGCTTCTACGGTTGTCCAAGATTGGCCCCACCAAGTTACTTCCCTGTGGAACAAGCGCAAAAGAGTACGAGTTGTTCTGTGCACTGAATTGCAAAAACTTGTTGGTGGCTAAAGGAGACATGTAAGGCAAGACAACTTTGCCCTTCCCGGGTCCTGCAAAGCCAAATCAATCAACCTCAAAATTCCAACCAAAAAGTCTTGCAAACTCAAATGGAACTCGGTTTCTTACCAAAGCTGCCTGCTGGAATGTTTGCTACCCAGTAGGTAATGTAGGACTCATAGAATTGGAATCCAATCATGTCCAACCAGGTGAACATCACCACTGAGAAGTAAGAAGGGTGTAAACCGCGAAGGTCGTCATATCCTTGGATGTCAATAGTGGGAGCCCTGTCAGTCATGTGCAATGGGAGGAAGCTGTTCTCCTTGACTGTGGTGGAACCGTACTTTATGAGAAGACTAGCATGAGATGACAACAAGCACAAGGAGAGAACCACAGCTGACAAGAACACTGCCATTTCTTAGAAGAATTGATGGATTGATGCTTTTAATCTGTGGCATTTTCTTGCGTTTTATACCACGCCAGATGACTAAATTCATCTATGCCTTCATCCTAGATTTCTAAAAAAGTCTTCTTTTTCTTTAACCAGAGAATTCTAGAAGAAAGGCAGAAAGTCAAGCAAGAAAAACTAAAAATAATTAAAATTGAGCGAATTTGAATTTTTCGATGATACATTCTCAATTCTAATTGTCTTCTTTGACAGCCGCAAAGAATGATTGGATCGCTCAATCAGGCAGCAGCAAGCTTGAAGCAGAAAATATGAAGAAATACAAACCAAGAAAAAAAACTAACCAAATCCCCGCTTTGGAATTAAGTTTGGAAGCAAAAGAGAATCATATATACGAAAGGAGCTATATTATGAAGTTGGTGGAACCTGTTATTCGATAAGATATAACAGGGGTGGTGGCGCAGTTGGTCAGCGCGTAGGTCTCATAGCTCTTGAGTGATCCTGAGGTCGAGAGTTCAAGCCTCTCTCACCCCACCGAATAACACATTTTATTTCCCTCAGTCAGGCCTCAAACGTTGCCAAAATGGGAAGTGAACGATAGTTAAAATCTTTGTATATTATTTTATCAGAATAATTGTGTAAGTATTACACTGAGAAAGCTACAAGAACTTCTCAGGTTACAGAGTTTTGTAAAAACTTATTTGAAATAGTGATTGAGGCATTGCAGCTCCTCAGTTTCTATGGCCGCGAGGTTTTCCACGTTTTCCAGCTTCAAGGGCTCGATCGGCGCATTCTCCCCGACGAAGAGCGGTAGATTTCTCACGGCACCGAGGATTGTTGTGAGAGCCGCGCGCACGGAGGCCAAGAAATTGCAGCTGACTACTCGCATTCCAGATTTCCAGGTAAATACTTCTTTCTATCTCTGTGCTAAACAGGCCTTTCTTTCTCAGCTGGTTGAGCCTCTGACTGCGAAACAATGGTCGCTTGACGAGTTTGAAGGAGCTCCCGGATTACTGGTATATAGCAGCACCATAGCTAAAAGAATTTTGGAAGAATCTTTTGCTCCCTTATCCTTCTCCATCCAGGTCATGTTTATTTGCAACCATTGCCCATTCGTCATCCATCTCAAGCCAGGGATCGTGACGCTAACCAACCAGTACATGAGAGTACGTATGAAAAACATTTCTTCGTTTCTTTCTCCTCAGTCCAAAGACTTTTTTTTTTCTTACTCTCTTGCATGGAACAGAAAGGCCTCAGTGTTGTTGGCATCTCTTCCAATTCAGTGAGAACACATCCTCAGGTGTTTACAGTCTGCGATACTTGCTTGGATCGATGAATCGAGTTTTGCGAGCTCGCAGGACGGCCCAGCGGCGATGGCAGAGGAAGCGAAGAGGCTTGGATACGAGTTCCCATACCTCTACGACGAAGTGAGCATCACATTCCTTCCTTAACTTTCCAAAGTGGTGATCGTGATCTTCCTTCCAGACACAAGAGGCTGCACGGGCGTTTGGAGCAGTATGCACGCCAGAGTTCTTCCTGTTCAAGAAGGTATTTCTTAGCTCAAAGAGAGAAAAGGAAGTTTTCCTACACACTCTAGTGGCACATTCAGGATGGAAGGAGGCCATTCGAATTAGCTTATCACGGCCAGTTCGATGATTCTCGTCCCAACAATGGGAGGCCAGTCACTGGAAGGTTTGCAATGACTATCAGTCGATCGTTTTCACTGTGACACTCATGTTAATGCAGAGATTTGAGAATGGCTATCGACTGTGTGCTTTCAGGAAGACCCGTGAGTCCCTTGCAAAAACCCAGGTTCGTTCTCTCATTTTTTTCCTTTTTCCCTCGTCTCACTCGTACCTGTTTCAGCATGGGATGTAGTATCAAATGGCACCCGGAACCATAAAAAGTTGGAAGTTTCTGCCTGCAATTCACTGATATTGTCAAAAAGGTATCGTCAATGCAAACTACCTCTCTGCATCGCTGTTGTGATCTTATCAGGCATGCCAAAGAAGATTGGTGTCGTCTTTCTCCAACTTGGGCTTTGGATAGAGTTTTGGGATGAGATGTGGATGCCATTGAATGGCACAGCCCATACTGCACAACAAAAAGAGAGATGGATGAAAGATCCAAGTCCAGACGCCGACGCTACCTATGCTTTTGGTGTGGATCGACCGGTTTACCCGTGAGAACCGCATCTAGTGCTAATCTCAAATCCCTGTGCCAGAACGAGCGTTAAGATTTCTCGTTACCTTTGATTTTTAGTACCTTCCAGTGATGGGAATTTTGTTTGGGTTGTGGTCCCTTGCGTCGTCAAACTGGCCGTGATACGCGAGTTCAAACTTTTGCTCCTCGTTCTGGTGATGCAAGCAACGATCAGACGTAAAGCATTTGCTTGACTTTACCTTTCTGAAAACAAAAAAATCGGGAGTGCCAAGTGGTGCGTACGCTTGAGTAACCTCTTGAGTCTGGAACCAAAAAGAAAACACAGCTTTAATCAACAAAGAACTAGCAGCCAACCTCGTCGTAGAGATAGGGGAACTTGTAGCCGTACTTCTCGACTTCCTCTTGCATCTCAGCCGGTCCGTCCTAAAATGACGAAGGAGCCAAAGACATGAAGAAAGAGGACTCCAAAAAGTTTCTTACCTCTGGAAAAACTACGACAGAATTCGGCGATATAGCCACGACCCCGAGACCTTTCTGCGCAGATTTTTCCACTATGAGAACCACGATAGAAGTTCCAAACATACCTCCATATACTCTTCCACTAGCTGGATGAGAGCAGATCTCAAAAACACTACAAATGGGCAGCGATACGAAATAAACATCACCTGTAAAGCACGAAAGTTTGTCACGCGAAAGAACAAGCCACAAAAGCTTTACCAAAAGAGCTGGATACTGCTGGAAATCTTTGAGGCACCACTCCTTGCCAGTCGCGGGCTCTCCAAGCTAAAGAACAATTCACAAAGATCAGCAAGGATTTTCGTTTGTTCCCGGTACCTCAAAATCTGGTGGTGGAGCTCCTAGCTCTAACTGCTTCAATGCAATAGCACGAACACCCAGCCTAGCTCTTGATCTTTGCCTTCTCACCGAAATATTCTTCTTTACGCTGATGCTGGGGAGAAATGCGGTCCGAAATCGCAAATCCCCGCCCCCGCTCCGCGAATCCACGCTAGAGTCGCTCCTCAAACAGGCTGCATTGCTCGAATCCACGCTCCCAGCGCCACAGCAGATCTTGGAAGCGGTGGCGCGAGGCGCGAGAGCAGATGGAGCGACGATCGTCGCAACAAGCGTCCCCATTTCTAAAACCCTAGCTAAGCCCTGGTAGGGAGCGTGGCTTATTTGGAGCCATGAGAATGGAAATACGCGCTAAGCACAAGTCTCTTTCTCATTTTTCTTTAGGTCAGGGCTTGGAACACGCAAGAAGGATCGATCCATTCCATGAGCCGATAGCGCTCTCTCTTTCTCTCTTTCTCT